AGGTTTAAGCTTCAGAAGGCACTAGAAACCTTACTAAAAGAATGACATGCTCAAAATTCCTATTGGTCTCAGGGCTTATGGAATAACGGAAGTCAGGCAATATGCACATAGAATTTCTTAGCTGCTAACCACAAGATTGAAGTTCAAACCCACCAGCTGCTCCTCCAGAGAATGATACACCTGTCTGCTACCTTAAACATGTACAGTCTCAGAAGCCCTGTAAATAGTTGTTATGCATCAGAAGTAACTCAATACTAGTGGATTTTTAAATAAAATGCATATGAATGGATCAGAAATCCAACACCTAAATGTCATGTTTGTTTTTTTTATTTACCATATTTTAAAATCACCTCAAATCTCAGCCATGATAGGCCTCTTTTATCAAAGTCAATCATTAAAATAAAATTATGAAGAATTCAAGAATAAGTAAAATAAGGAAACTCCCAAACTCAAATACTCACTTAGCTTCCCTTTACAGCATAGGCATTTCTTCTCTTTGTCTGATGTGAATATTTTTCTTTTCACTTAAAGACTTGGTAATTTCCTTGCTTACAAGACATGAATTTCAAGAGAAAGAAACTTTTACTACTTCCACTATCCCAAATACATTATTGTCTTCGGGCCTGAAACTAGAGTAAGATCCTATCATCTCCCTCACCCCCACCAGGTTTAAGGGTCAAATAATAAGTCAAGACTAGCCTGTATTGTCAGCTTATAATCAGAGACATGGGCTTATATGCAGAAGAATGAGGCATCAGGATTGGAGGAAGGCTTAACAACTAGCAGATTATGCAATTTAGCTTGCTGAGAGTGAAGAGAACTTGAAGCACTTGCTGGTGAAGATTAAGGATTGCAACTTTCAGTGTGTAAAGAAACAAACAAACCAAAATCCTCACAACTAGACCAGTAGGTAATATCTTGATAAATGGAGAAACAATTGAAGTCGTCAAGGATTTTGTCTTGCTTAGATCCACAATCAATGCTCATGGAAGCAGCACTCAAAAGGTCAAAAGATGCATTGCCTTAGGTAACTCCTGCACAAGGAATTTGTTTGTTTGTTGCCCAAAACCATTTTACTTGGAGTTGATATAGTTATCATACCATACCATAGTCCAATCACAGCAAGCAGTATTGTACAATTGCTACCACAATCGGTTTCAAAACATTCTTTCCTTGAATATCTTGACATCACCTCCCTATTTCCCCCCTCCCCTACTGGACCCTCCAGGAACTGTTTGCTGTCGCTGTAGGTTCATTAGTCCTGGTTTTCAGATGCTGGTTTCACTACAAAAACATCTAAGAAAAATTCAAAAGGGCTATCCTAATTGACAAAATAGATCTGAGGTGAACCCCAATATGAAAACAAACAAGCAAAAACCCAAATAGAAAATGTTGAAAACCAGATAAGGCTCAATGTCCATCAGAGTTTCCTTATTTTACTTATTCTTGAATTCTTCATAATTTTATTTCAATGACTGGGAATCAAGCAACTAGTTTTTAACTGGTCAAGTCAGGCTTACCAGTTTGATCTCCTATGTTCATCTCTCTAATGCACTCTAATAATATGTTTATTCTAAGCTCTCAATTATGGATCAAGGGAAATCACTGAATGCTGTTTTCCTGTGTAGATCTCACAGATGTATCTTGGGTTCCCACTGTCATCCATAGCTTTCCGAAAAGCAGAGCTTCAAAATTTAATATCTGATACTAATCCCTCCTTCGGCTTTCGATTATATGATTTATAATCCTTCAGTCCCTGCTGTTGGTGAGCTTCTTCCATGGGGACTCAGTTGACATTGGACTCAAATGGTTGCTTATTTGGAAACAAGCCTGTAAGAACTCAGACACTATTCTCTCTCATAGCCAGGCACCATCTAATTTCTTCACTATACTTTGCTATAGCACCGATATCTTCTGTGTTCCTTTCCTGAGGGTGAGTGCTGAGCAGGCCATGATGTAAGAACTAAATGTTCTTAAATCAGAACTAGGATGTAAGATGAGCCCCAAACGCATTCCTGCATCTGTGAGTTTTATATGCCTTTGGTTCACAAGAACTCTTAAAATGGTTGACAAGGAAGGATGTCATTTTGAGCACTCCGGTGCACCTGACCCAAGCCATGGTATCTTCTATTGCTTCATTGTGAAATTGCCGATTATGAAAGTGTGACATTGAAGAAGGAAGGCCGCCAATGAGATGGGTAAGCACAGGGGCTTCAACCATGGGCTCAAACATAAGGAACAATTGTACATAGGATTGCGGTGAGACTCAATGGCCCCGAACAACAACAACAACAAGGGTAAAAATACTTTCCACCCCAGCCCCTCGCTCTCCTCCTACCCCTACCATAGTAAAAAAAAAAACCCTGGAAAATCTTGTACCTTGCTAATAACTGAAGGATGTGTGAGGTAATGGATGATAGTGGCATTTATCTCAAGAGAGGGAGACGTAAGTTGAGATTGGATTGAATTTATTGACATGATAATACTTCCTCGAGGTTCTTTATTCAATGTGCTATCTGTAGCACTCTAGTAGCTTTGCACAACCCAAATGGTTATGTTAAATATGTGTCCAAGAAGATGTTATACCTAACAATCCATTTCTTCTGAAGGGAAATGTAGTCGCAGTGTACAAAACAGCATGGTTTGGGGAGTGGACATAGAGCTCAGGGATCCTGGAAGCTTGGCATCTATAGAGAGAATCACTATGGTAGATAAAAAGAGATCGTAGCTGATGGATATCTATTATCTATCTTTCAGGTGCTGTGATAGGAGCTTCTGTATACTGCCTTTAAATTACAATGGATACTCTCAGTAACCATAGGTGTGGAGATTATGAGCATTTCCACTGTAAAGGCAAGGAAAATTTGGTTCAGGCACATGACCTGGTCCCAAATGGTCCAGTTACTACGTGATAGAGACTTGACAGGAACATTCATTCTAGTAGTGCCTCTGACTCAAGAGCACAGGACTGGGAAGCTTGGGAGGGAGAAGTGGCCTCATATTTCAGAGATAGGCTTTGAAGTTAGGACCTGCTAGCAAAGCTCAGGTGAACCAGATGCATCCAAAAAAAATGGCTATATCAACTGTCTGCCTCTGCCATCACAGGGCACAGGTTTGGATGTTTTCTTTCCTCTGTAATACTTTCCTGTTTCTGCTGAAGGGACTTGCTGTAGCCGAGGGAGCTAACTGTGTGTTATAGCACTAGGAGAAGGTGTGTGGATTGGCTTTGCAGATGGGAGATCAGAACTTACCACGGTTCTGCTGTGTAACACATGCACCAGTGACCATGCTGTACATGAAGTGTGTCTTTTCCTACTCAAGTTAGAGGTGTGGGTGGGTACCACGTGATGAGATATGTCTCAGGGATTCAGGAGCAATGTTTACCACTCAGCTCTGAAGTTCCATTGTAGAGTTTGGTGCTGTCTGAGTAGGAGTTAGGTCAATATTTGTTTAAGGAAAACAATGTCACAACATAATTACCCATTATCTACCTTGTCAAAGATATTGCGGGGACTTCCCTCTGCGCTCAGGGTAAAGTCTGAGCTTCCAGGTCTGATCTTGGACTGCATCTGAGATGAACTCAAACTAAACTCCATTTTCCTACCCCTCAGCACACACTTAACACACGCACATCCTTCATGTAGTCTTAAAGCAAGAAGTATTTGGAGCAACATGCTTTGAAACATGCTCTGCATATGGTAAACAGTAAACACCTGCTTACTGTTTCTCTTCAAGCAAAGGAGACATATTGGACATGGGGGGGATGGTGATACCCTTTGTTATTGTTGTTTTTACTAGGAATATTTGAGCTATACGCCGGCAAGATTGAATAAACACAGGTCTCTAATTGAGTCCATGCGCTCCTCTCCCAAAGCTTCTTTGCATGTAGTTAGTACACAGTTAACACTGGATGAGTTGGCTGCTTCTGTTCTTCCGTATCCTCTTTGGACCCATGTGGCCTAGGAAGTGGTAGAGGGTTTTCAGTGACCATAGGTTGTTCCTCTGAGCAGGCATATGTATGTGCAGCATCAGGAGCCAGAGCTGGAAGCTAGATTTAGCATGGCCTCCTCCAGGCCAATGAAGAAGTAATTTCCTGTGCACTCTGTTAGAGGCTCACTTACTTTATGTCTGAGTGTTCCTTAACTGCTCTGAAAAGGGTTGCATTACAAGGTTCTGGATAGAGTGGGAGAAAAATGGAACAAAACACAAAACTATAAAAAAAGAAAAGGCCAGGCTTACTGGTAGGGTAACAGACTGGCAAAACTCTTGAGACTGTGGCCTTGCGACCTACTTCCCTTTCAGACCTGAATCTTAAGTCAGCGCTGTGGTTCCATTTTCAACCAAACACTAGGTCTGCAAGGGGAACAACAATACTAGGGAGGTTCTTTACAATAATCAGCCATTTAAGATCCAGAGGGCGACGCTCACTGAAGGACAAAGCTCACGCAAGTTAGGCAAAGAAGGAGGAATGCACAGAAGAAGCACAGGAAGGAAGGGGATAAAGGGTGTTACATTGTGGAGCCCGCAATCAATGAGATGAAACAAAATGTGTGTCACTTGTTGAACAGGAACTCATCTGCTCTGTAGCCATTCGCCCAATTCACAATAACCTAAGCCCCACCCCCACCTCACCCCCACACACGTGGCCAATGCAAGCACTAACTGAGAACTGTCTTTTGCCTTCTGCCTCCTGGCCCCCTGGCTTTCTTTAGGTCTGCTTAAGAGACACTTTGCTGGACAACCCAACCCCTTAACTCTGTCCAACTATTTTCTTTTTTTTTAATAGCTGAAGGACTTGGCAGTCAAAGCGATCATCCAAAGTTTCATCCTTATCATTTTTCTCTTTGTTCCTCCTGGCCTTGGTTTTGGGCATTGGCTTTGGACACATCATCCCAGTGGTAATGTCAGGTTAATGAGTAACTCCTCAGGTTCTAGTTTTGCAATCCAGGGTACATTATAAAGATGGAAACATTTGCTTTCCAAAAGAGGCAAGTGGCTTCTTAGGTGTGCGCTGTAAGTAGTTTTTTGTTTTATTTTCCTCTTTGGGACCTGGGACTATCTCAATCAGCAGCCAGACTCCTAAATCCCTTTAAGCTCTGAACTGCTTGCTTTGGGCACCAAGATCTAAGAGTAGTCATCTGAGAACTGACCTTCCACTTGTCTCATTTATCTTTTACCGCTAGAGGAGACTGGCACCAATGTGACATTGTGGATGGAGTGGGAGCAGTTAGCAGGGTTCAGGTTGTCCAGCAAAGCATCTCTTAAGAGGGCAGGAGGCAGAAGGAAGACAGTTCTCACCATGTGGTCAGATGGTGCTGGGATTGGCAGATGTGTGTGTGTACACAATTGTGGCAGCAGGAGAGGGGGAGTGGAGACTGGAGGCAATGTGGCCTGCTATTAAGGGTGCAGCGGGAACAGTGGCAGTAGGGATGGAGATGAGGAGGAGTTAGAGAGTTAGTTAAGTCAACAGAGCATCCTGGTGGTGCATGGTTGAGCACCCTATGGCCCACTTACAGATCAGTGTTTGGAACCCGCCAGTTGCTCCACGGGAGAAAGAGGTAGTTTATTTACTTCTGTAAAGTTTTAAAACTTTGGAAACCCTTGGGCAGAATAGCCTTGGGTCATTCTTCTCTGTTGCACAGACCCGCTAGGAGTTAGTATCTGTTCAACAGCAATGGGCATTGATAGAGCATTATGAATCATTGGACAATAAGTATGAAAGCAGTCCTTAGGATGACGCCTAAGTTTCTGACATGGGAGGGTCTCAGTTAATAGTGATAAGAAATGAAGAAAAAAGAAAATTTGGGGGAGCAGGGAAATGATGAACTTACCTTTGGAAATGTGAAATTGATTTACATATCTGGAGGATAGACCCAATAGGCAGCTGGAGAAATAGTTAGAAATTCGCGGGTGCGGGGGTTGTTCTAGATTCCAGCTATTCTTTTGTAAATGGACAGTTGAGTTTCTGGCAGTGGATGGGAAAGCCAGAAAGAGAATGGGGGACCGCAACAGGAATATGGTCGCGACTCTGCGGCACTCTTCCTTTTGACCTCTCACCATCATTGTCATGGAGGGTCTCACAGCTGGCCCATGATTGCATTGCATTGCACTCTTCTTAATCCATATTTCTGGTTCCCTCCCTAGTAACTGTCAAATAATGTGCGTAGGTGTTAAGATGTCTTGAAAGTTACAAATGCCACAGTATATAGGTGATATTGGTGGTGAGAGAGTCTCGCATGCACAGTTACAACTTCCTCTTCCTGTTGTTTGTAACTAGGCCCATGGATTCCATGCATGACATAAATCAATGGACTTCAGCTCAGGACCTTGTGCACGACTCAGTGAACTATCTATCATCCTTTCACTGCAGTTACACATCTATTATGAAAATCATTCTCCTGTTTCTAAGAGAAAGGAATTGGAGATGTTTTGTCATCTCCTCTAGATTTTATCTTCAGCAAATGCCAATTTGAAAACCAAAGCTAACACAGTCCAAATCTCTAATCTATGAATAAAAATGTAAGCAAAAATAGTTTTATTTCTCTCTCCAAACAGCTGTCTCTGGGTAAATTAAAAAGCAATACAATTTCCATAAATTTCATTACTCAAACATTTTTCATTTACTCACAGTATTTTAATAATGTCACTATTATTTCTGAGCAAAAAATATAGCATGGTTTCTGTGGCCCCCAAAAGTTACCCCACACACTTCCTGCTCCCATTAAATATGCTATCAATTTTTCAGGGGTGAGAGAACTCCACTCAGTTCCTGGTGAGCACACTAGTATTTTCACTATAGTTTTATTAATCATTATGGATAATTATTATGTGTGTCTGCATCAGAGTATTTCATTCCATTAACTGTCCCCAATGGTTGTCTCATCTCATCTCTTACATAGATCACTTTTCTTCCAAAATGCCACCGTCCCTCTATAAGGTTTTCTTATTACTTGGGCTTCATGTGACAATCCATTGTGCATCACCTAACAGCTCTGAAGGCCAAGTAACCATCTGCCATTCCCCCCAACACAATGTCACTCTCTATAAGATGTCATCCACCAATGCTGACTTTGCCTTCAACCTGTACCGGAGGTTCACTGTGGAGACCCCACATCAAAACATCTTCTTCTCCCCTGTGAGCATTTCTGCTGCTTTGGCCATGCTCTCCCATGGGGCCAGCTCCAACACCCAAACTCAAATCCTGGAAAGCTTGGGGTTCAACCTCACAGTCGTCTCAGTGGCAGAGCTCCAACAGGGTTTCCAGCACCTCATCTGTTCACTGAATTTTCCAAAGAAGGAGCTGGAATTGCACATGGGAAACGCCCTCTTCATTGGGAAGCAGCTGAAACCACTGGCAGCGTTCTTGGATGATGTCAAGAGCCTTTATGAGACTGAAGTCTTATCTACCGACTTCTCCAATGTTTCTGCAGCCAAACAGGAGATCAATAGTCATGTGGACAAACAAACCAAAGGGAAAGTTGTGGGCCTCATTCAGGACCTCAAACCAAACACCGTCATGATCCTGGTGAATTATATTTCCTTTAAAGGTAAGACTGTAAGATGTCTATTTCAAGCTCAGTATTTATATAATTTTCTGAGGGGCAGGGGAGTTGTGGGGAATAAGATAATATCTTTTGTCACTGGCACCAGCAGGTTTCCCTTAGGCCAGAGTGACCTGCTCTACTGGGCAGAGCTGCACCTAGTGCTGACTCTGCCAGTAGGGACACACAACATTGTGCATGCGCCCAGGAACTTTCCACGCAGAAGGCATTTTCAGGGAGATGGGTGACAATGGCATGGATACGTTGCTCACATAGGGACAGAACCTCATACGTCCCAAACAAGCCTGGGCTTGTAGGCAGATGGACTTAGATTTCAACTACACTGTGACCTCGTTGGCTGTGCACTGTTGGCCATGGTCCAGGAATACTTCTATCATAAACTCTGCAGTGGCTATGTACCATGCACCGTGCCACATTTATGATATATACACATTGCCTCATATCATCCTCACAAAGGCCCAAGTTCACATATTTAAAATGTTTCAGAGCTGGTGTTTCCACCCAGGTCTGTCTTGACTCCAAAGCCGGTGCCTGTAACAACAAGAATCATTTGATTCTTTTCTGACGGTGCTGTTCCCAAATGATTTCTCCTGAGTCTACAGCACATCTCAACCACATTTAGTGGAAGAGTGAACAGATCTGTTGTCTCAATTCACCTTGTGTGTTGGATGTCCATTTACTTTTTTACAGAAAAGGAAATGGTGGCTCTGATGGGTTTAGTGCAAGTATAGTGGTTTTGAATACAGACCACGGAGTCCAACAGCTCTGAGTGTGACTCCTGGCTCAGTCACCTGCTTGCTGGGTGGCTATCATCCAGTTACTTTCTCTCGGTGCTCTTTATTTATTGACTCACTTGTAAAACCAGTTGACAGTTGCCACCTCTGCTTTATTGTACTATAGTGAGGGGGCTAAAATAAAAGCTCATGTAGGTACTAACTCTGATTTGAAATCCTCACTTCTTTTCTGTGTTTTAAGCCCAATGGGCAAATCCTTTTGATCCATTGAGAACAGAAACGGGGTTCAACTTCTTAGTGGACAAGAGCACCACAGTGCAAGTGCCCATGATGCACCAAATGGAACAGTACTACCATCTGGTGGACCCAGAACTCAACTGCACAGTGTTGCAAATGGACTACACTGAGAAAGCTCTGGCCCTCTTTGTCCTGCCCAAGGAAGGTCAGATGAAGTGGTTGGAAGAATCCATGTCATCTAAAATACTGAAGAAGTGGAACCGCTTACTGCAGAAGGGGTAAGTACTTTGCAGGTTTGGCGGGGTACAGTATAGGCAGTACAGTGCGCCTGAGACTGAGTTCCAGAGACAGTGCGAGATAAGATTCAATACTCTACCACACCTAACGTCAGTGCGAAGACCACAAGTGCATGGTATGTTGAGAACATACCACGTGTCATGCGATTTGTAGGGCACATTGCATTACTTTATCTCACTTAAGCACGCCAATAAACTTCGCATTTTTCAAAATGGTCTAGAGGGGTTAGCGGGGGGCGGGGGGGGGTGGGGACAAGCAAACAAAAAACCCTCTCCAACGGCAGGCAGGAAGTGAATGATTCCTTCCTAGGGACCCACGAAAACTTTGGGGTGCATAATAATGGAATGTCATGAACCGGTGGGCAGCCACGCTGAACAGATTGTACCATAAGGAAAACCATGAGTCCCTGCGTGCTCCTCCTCCATTTTCACACCGCTGGGTCCCTGACTTGGTCTAACACCTCAGCCATGTTTTGTTTGGATGTTTTTAATGAGGAAATCATTTTCTTGGGGGCTCTTACAGCTCTTATAACAATCTGTACATCAATTGTATCGAACACGTTTGTACATAGGTTGCCATCATCATTTTAAAAATATTTTCTTTCTGTGTAAACACTTGGTATCGGCTTCTCTTGTTTTCCCATCCTCCCCAACCCTCCCACCATTCTGGACCTCTGATAAATGATCAATTATTTTTATTTTCATCTCTTACAGTGTCTGTTGTCTCCCTTTGCCTACGTTTCTGTTGTTCGTGCCCCTCGTGGGGGAGGAGGGTGATTCCTTGACATTATAGTCGCTTACCCGTTTCTCCCCCTTCTTCCCTCACCTTCCCCCTGCCCTCCTGGTATTGCTATCCCCACTACAGTCCCTGGGGGGTTTACCTGTCCTGGATTCCGTGTGTGAAGAGTTCTTATCGGTACCAGTGCACATAGTCCAGTCTAGCCGGGTTTGTAAGGTAGAACTGAGGTCCTGATAGTGTTCCCTCGGTGCTATGCTGCACCATGATTGTCTCATTCTTTCCTTAAGACCCTTCTTTGAGGAAATGTCTAATTCTTTACAGATAGGGTCCCCACTCTGATCCCCATCATTTGCCTGGATATATTTGTTTGGTTTGGGTCTTCCCATGCGTGATACCTGATCTCGTTGACACCTTGTGATCACACAGGCTGGTGTGCTTTTTCCATGTGGGCTTTGTATCTTCCCTGCTAGATGGCGGCTTGTTTCACATTAAGCCTTTAAGACCCCAGAAGCTATATCTTGCAATAGCCAGGTACTATCAGCTTTCTTCACCACATTTGCTTATGCACCTATTTTGACTTCAGCCATAGTGTCAGGAAGATGAACATCACAAAAGACCAGGCTATCAGAACTAAGTGTTCTTGCATTGAGAGAGTACTTGAGTAGAGACCCAATGCCTGTCTGCTACCTTAATACTTAACATTTAAATACATATACACAGAACTATAACTCTACCATTATATATGCAAATATTTACATATCTGCATGCCTATATTTATACCTCTATAAATGTCCTTTCCTCCTAGTTCTTTCCTCTCATTTTTTTAACTTTTCTCCTGTCCCACTATCATGGTTGACCTCCATTAGACTCTCAGTACTTTCCCTCAGTTTCTTTGCACTTGATCAACCCCCATCAGGCATTCTATGCCCTCCTCACAATTGAATTTTCCTCTCTTATTGTTCCCTTGTCCCAGTTTTGTTGGCTCCCCCTCCCTTTCACTTTCTTTGGATTTAAAGAGTGATGTATCTCATGACTTACAGGGCTCCAGTCCATCTTTGGCTTAATCAGAGTGTCTTTCTCCCAGAGTAATGTCTGTGGTTTTCTGCCAAGTGTTGGCCTATACAACAGTCTTTGCCAGTCCTCAGGGCAGAGCAGGGCATCCCAAGCATGGTATGATGATGACCAACAGGCCTACCTCTTTTTTCACAGCTGGGTTGATATATTTGTTCCAAAACTTTCCATTTCTGCCACACATGACCTTGGAGCCATTCTTCTGAAAATGGGCATTCAGGATGCCTTTGATGACCATGCTGATTTTCCTGGAATCACAGAAAGCCATGGCCTGAAACTTTCCACTGTAAGTTGGTCAATTATAGTTCTTAAATGTCTTGAGCTGGAAGGAACCTTGGGAGACAGTTTATTCAACTCACTAATTTTAGAAAAGAGCAACAGAAATCTAGAGAGTCAGTGTGACTGCCAGGAGGACAGATTTATTGGGAGTCATTCTTGTCACTTGGAACAAGTCCCTATAACACAGTTTCTTCCTTCCTGATGTTCGTGTCCTGAACTGACCCTGATGGCAGAGCTTAAGGTCAGAAATTACTGTGGTGAGATTCGGTTGTAGAAGGGGGTGGGGGACAGAGAGGGACAGGCAATTCTGAATGGAAGAAGGTCATATCAAAAGAGATGGTGTCCTCAAAGCTGGGCCTAAAACCACCAGAGATGAAGTGGTGGTAAATAACTGTATTTACCCACATTGAACTGAATAGATGTTGCATTCAATTATCATCAACAGAGAACAGCACAAAGGTGGTGGTCGCACCTGTCCTTTTCTGTTTATCCTTACAAGCCTGATCAAAGGCTGTTCCTGTTTCTCCAAGGGCCCAGCAGTGTTTGTTTTTGCCTGCAGGCTGCTCACAAGGCAGTACTGGACATTGGTGAAAAGGGAACCGAAGATATAACCCTCCCTGAAGACAGATTCCTGGACCAGCCTGAGATGACTCTCTTTCATGCTACCATGCAGTTTAATAGACCTTTCTTGCTTATGATTTTGGAAAAAAGCACTAAGAGCATTCTCTTTCTAGGGAAAATTGTGGACCCAATGGAAATGTAATTTGGAAAAGAGGCTGTTGACTAACTGCATGTACATATTGCAAAAAAGAAATAAATAGTATAGTTGATGTGATCAATGTGGGCTTGAATCTACCTCATCTTGTTTAGTATGACCTTGACTGCTGTAAGGCCACACCTGTGATCATTCAAGCAGTTCATAAGTTACTAAAGCACCTGAAGGCCCCAGGTCAATGCATTCCTCTTTGTTCAGAACACCACCTGCAATTAGTTCACTCCAAGGAATTTGACTGGCTGGCAAGTGCCCCCTTCTCTGCCCTGTGATAAAGAGTTGATCATGTTGTATTATCCCATTATCCCAATAGTAAGATTAACGAATATAAATATGTGATGGCTCCTGCGTCAACCCTTAACTGCCTTCTAACAACCCATCAAAATTGTTCTTAATCTTCTGCTATTGCTTGGATGTCTAAAGGTGCTTCCACTAACAGTTCTGAATCCCAGACTAAGCCAGTGCTAGCAATGTAGCTTTGGGACCTATAATATATGAGGTCAAGGAGCAAAAGCAATAAAGATGAACTTCCAAGTACAAGCCTGTCATGAACATTTCTTAAAGCAGTGGAGAATTGAAGTTACTTATTTGTACCCTCTCTCATGTCACCTCCTTAACTGTAACCCAATCAGACTCTCTATTCATGTAACAATCTCCTGGTTAGTCTGTCTTTCATCTCTATTTTCACTGAAGTTTTATACCCCCCTTTCATCAAATCCTTCAATAATCTCCCCTTCACAATATATTCCAACCCAACTTGAACAACCAAGACCCCGGTATTAGAATTCAGCACACATAGAAGTCACAGAAAATGTTAGTGCTGTCATATCTAAAATTCTCGCCCTAACATGAAACACTTCAGTTGCAGGGTAATAATATCAAATGCATAAGTGCTATCACAGATAGTGTCCTTTCCAGTTAAATAAATATGTACTGTTTAGAAAAGTACATGTCCTACAAACATTTCTGTGTCAGTTTTTTTCTGTATCAGATTCATTTACATAAAATGTGCATATTCCTGGCCTAATTAATATTTTGGTTGTAAACAAGGATAAGAAATCAGAAAGTCCAGGATGGAAAGTGACTGTGGCAGAGACAATCTATTGATTACATGGAGTTTGGCTTCACTTAAGTTACATTCAAGCCTGGTTCTGGGTCCTGTTCTTTAAATGATTTTGTAAACTTGCACAAGATATCTGAACACTGTGTACCTTATGTTCTCTCTCTCTCTCTCTCTCTCTCTCTCTCTATATATATATATATATATATATATATATATAACATAGTCCAGCTTATCAGTAATTTGTGAACACTCAACGGGGCAAAACATGCTCGTTGAAAAGATTGACTTCTGATAAGAATGCTGTCCATATTAGTTGTTTTGATATTCTTGCTCAAGATCAGACAATTGGCTGATATTAGAACCAGGTTTGTAATGTGGGTTTTCGGGGTTCTAGGTGTTTGTTTTCTTAATTGAGCCTTACCTCCAGGAGTCAGAATAAATGTCATCGAGGACTCCCCACACTCATTAAAATCAGAAACAGACAAAAACAACCCACTACTGTTGAATGGATTCCAACTCATAACATCCCTATAGGACAGAGTAGAATTTCCTCTTTGAATTTCTGAGGCATTAAATCTTTATGGAAGAAGATAGCCTCCTCTTTTCCCCAAGGAGCAACCGGTAGATTTGAATTGCTGACCTTGTTATTAGCAGTTCAATGTGTAACCCACAACATAACCAAGGCTCCTTCCTTCCCAAAATGTCCCACATTAAATGAATAAGAATTATTTCTTGGAAGAATATCAATATCTCCAGATAATATCCAGGAAGCAGAAAAACATTCTCCTTCAAATACCTGGTGTATCTTGTCAGGAACTAAATCTCATTCAATCATTCATTCCTATAGCTGGATCATGCATGGCTATGATTATTCATTTTATGAATCTCAGCTCATTCTTGCAAGCTAATAATATCAGATAGCTTTCTTATCTTCATAAGTGGTGCCTATCAAATAACTATAAAAAAACATCTCAGCAGCAGACAAGTCTTGGAGAAGACAAGTTCATGTCTGTTGGTACAAAAAGTGGGGAGGATCAATTTCCAAATGGGGGGAAATGACTGACAATATTTCCAACAACCCTAGGCAAACAGAATGTTTGGTAATATGCAACAAATAAGCCAAATGGGCTTGAGTTTCTGTACACCTGCTGGGCACCTAGGCCATGCGCCATAGATTGGGACACTGAATCCTCTATCTTCAAAAACACACCATATGCTCCCAAGGCCATATCAGAGCGCTCTGATGTGGAAACTCCACTGGGTGAACTAGACTCTACCTCAAATACACCTGTAACCTGAGGACTAAAGATTGAAATTACCTGGTGTGTGAAGAAGCGGTAGACAGCTATACCAAGAGTAATGAACTGCCGGTAGGCTGCCAACAGTGATACATCAATGCCTTACTTGCTGTATTAAAATATGTAAGATTCTGGAAGACCTGTGATTGATATTGTCAGTAAATATTATTGTAAAATTTGCCTGACAAACCACTCCCATAGTTTGTGTGAATAGTGTTCAACCACGTAAGGATTTATTCTGTACAAGTGAATAATTCAGGTATTGTGATGTGTGGTTAGACTACACAGGCTCAATCTCCCTCTCTCAAAAGTGTTTAAAAAATTGGTACCATGGGCTCATCAGTGACACTATTAACAGAAGATCCTGATGTGCCAGGGAGATGATCAATAAAATTGTCTAACATAAATTAAAAAGAAGTCTCAAAAGGGAGCCAGAGTTAGGTTAAAACAAACAAACAACAACATAAATCTAGGAATGGGTTTTGGGCTCACACTTAATCCTAGAACCAATCTTAGCACAATCAGTCCTTACGACATGGCGCTGTTTGATATTCACCCTTATGAAAGAAACACGGAAGATATGGTTGCTATAGCAAAGTGTGATGGAGAAATTAGATGGTGCTCAGCTATCAGAAAGATTAGCGTCTGGGGCCTTAAAGGCTTGTTTCCAAACAAGAAGCCATGTAAGTGATACATGAACTAAGACCACATGGAAGAAGCACGACAACCTCTGTGACTCATGGATTGTACAATATATAATCCAAAACCAAAGGAGAGAATAGCATCGGAGATTAAAATTGTGAGATTCTGGTTTGTAGAAGGCTATGAGAGACAGTGGAAGCCCAAAATACATTTGTGAGATCTACAGAGGAAATAAACCTCCAGTGAGTTCTCTCTAATCATAATTAAGAGATAGGAATAAACTGGTTGTCAGAGTATTGGAGAGGTGACTAAAGCAGGTTAAATTTAAAAACCTGACTTGAATACTTGTAACCTTGTCATTTGATCTACACTTTGATAAACTTTGGACTTGCTCTGATTTTCAATATTGCTTGTTTTTTTGTTATTATTTCATAATAGGGTTATCTCTGATGTATTTTGTCATTGTGGGTAGCTTCTTGAATCTTTGTTATGTGTTTTTCTAGAGTTTGGTTCATGAAACTCAGGATTGACGTACCTATACAGCCAACAATTAAAATAAGGGTTCTTGGGGCTTATGGTGGGGGAGGTTGAACCAGTGTTGGCTAGCTACATATCACAACACCTGAAGTATTCACTTGTACTAGGAGTATATATCAAGGAGTTTTGAAACTGATTGTGGTAGAAATTGTACAATACTACTTGGTGTGGTTGAACTAGAGAATGGTATGATGTATGGATAAGTTCCTAATAAAATGGTTTGGAAAAAAGATAATGAAACTTTAGCAAATTTCTACTAAATAGTAAATGCCTAAAAAGCAAAAAGAAAATGACATATAATACCTAAAGGAAAATGGGTAAAAAAAAGCCAGTTTACTACTGAGGATGAAAAATGATTGGCCAATAAATCTACAAAATGCTTAAAACTGTTGCCCAACAAACTAATTGAAATAGTTTTTGTGCACATGGAAATATTTGTTTTGCTTTGGTTGATTTGAATTATTGTAAAAGGTGTAGCACATATTTTAAAAGGGCACAATCATAAATGTTTATCTCAATGATTTTTACCAAAGGGAGCACGGTATAATAAGTTGCACCAGTATAAGAAGAGAAAATTATCTGCACATCTGGATCACCCTCTAGCCCACTGAATGGCATTCACTTCTCATTGCTATTCAGGTTTCCAACACAAGGAATTTATTTTGCCTTTTGGGGGGTAAATGTTCAAATGAAGTCATGCACGGTCACTTATTGACATGATTAGGTTCCAAAGATAGGGCAGTATATGAAAATCAACGTTATATAAAAATGGAGGATGGCCACATCAGATCACAAAGTGATCAATCACTTTGTGTAACTGCCAAATCACATCATTGTGTATTAAAGGGCTCCAGGAAGGTCAGAGAAAAATTGAGTTAAAATGTAATGGAATTTTCTCCCCACAAAGTTTAAGAAGCAACTTCCTAACTGCCAAATCACTGTGATTCATGGCCCAACTGAGTTGAAGCAGAGCCTTAACCATCCCAGTTAATTTTCCTCTTGCCTTGCACCAGAGCACTCATTACCGCCGGAGGTATATCACCGAGCCACAAACTTCAGATAGTTGATTTTCTTTAATATTATTGTCAATGTGGAACATAATGTAACAAATCAGTCAATAAGTGAAGAGCAAGTGTAATAAATACTCTTTGATGTAGTCATAGCTGTTTGGGAATGCATTTATAAATTGTTCAGACTAGCACGGAATAGCTAATTAATATAGTTGCTATCAATAAGTTATAAACCTGTAAAAGGTAGAATTGGATAACATTGCGTGATAAAAGTAATTACAACAGCAATAAGAACAATAAAAAGCATATGCCCAGGCTAGATATGTAGAATTGAAGACCTCATAAGGAGCCCTGGTGATGAAGTGGTTAAATATTTGGCTGCTAACAAAAAGGTCAGTGGTTCAAACCACCAGCTACAACACAGGACTCCCATGAAGATTTACAGTATTAGAAAATTTGGGAGAAGTTCTACTATGTTCTGTGGGTCAGAATTGACTCAGTGGCCGTGAGTTT